CCAGACAGAGAAAACATCAGGAATAAATAATATTCTAAACTAATGTTGTCTGTTAGATGTCACATGACTGTCCATCTACTAATCAATAATAAAAATAATGTTGACTAACCGGGTCTGTGCATAGCATGGAATTAAACTCGAACTTATCACCTGGAACCTACCCCTCCCTTTGTTCTTCTCAATGTCTCGGTGTCACGTCCCTAAGCATCTGAAGCGAAGCGTGTCTGAAGGTGTGCAATCCGGTCCCACCCCTGTGCCCCGGGTTATCGTCGAGCAAGGCAGCCACAGCACTCTTATTTACCCCCGTACGCCGACGAGCCTTCCACTCGGATGATCTGGCTGATCAAGAGGCAATTTAACGTCCGCCCCCAAGTGACATCAGGAATTATTTTACGTCGCAGCAGGACGACGATCACAGCCAGATCAGAGCCGAGTCCCCAGCCAGAAATGTTTATAGACGGTCTGGTAAGCGTCTGTAGAGGCTGCCACACTCGAGTTAACCCCTATCATGCGCAAGCAGCAGAACCAACGACTTGCAGCGAAGCATGCGTGTACTACACCCAGTGGGTTGGCATGGTGACCGTGACCCAGTGCTTCGTCCAGGGCCCTTCAAGAAGCTCCGCCCGTCTTCCCCCAGATGCTCCACGTGAACAATCACGACTCTCAAGATTGAGCGCTCACGACACCTCACGATGAGAGGACTCTCAAGACAGAACTCACAACCTCACGGTAAGAAGTGATGAAGAGGGTAGGTAAGGTTAAGAGCAACGTACCTCGTTCATGTTGCCCCCAACCACAGAGATAATCTCACCAGATGACCTGAAGATGATCGCGATGACCAGTCACAGCATCGGCACAACCAGCATTTCGCCGTTCCACCTCAGCTTCAATCACCAAACAGATAGTTCTCATCACACTGCGAACACCCAATATTCACACCTTAGCCTTCCAGGCGATGCCTCTCACCACCTGGGTCGCCTTCCACTCGTCTTCACCCTCCTCACTACACACCACTTACGGCCAAACTCTCCCAGCAGACCGCATGTATGTACCGTATAAGGCAGAAGACAAGCGCCAGATGAGCGCAATCGTACCACGGCTCTGATACCAAATTGCAAGGAAGATGAGCAATAGCGAATTCCAGAACTCAAACAGCATCATACATGAGTGACCAAAATAGCCATGACCTCGAACCATGAGCAGAATGGCATCACGAGTTATACCAAATAAGAACACAGCAATAGTTCATAATTGACAATGCTGAAGTTGTCTCTCATCATCATCAACAAAGAACACGAGTCGGTATCCTATTGGCGCTCGGCGCCCAGACTACAAGATGGCAGATCCTATCTAGCCTACTACTACAATGCCGAAGTTGACGTCAACAGCTTCACCGAAGTACGAGCATRTGCGGCCAAKGCCGCTCGCCTCAAGCACCAGGTATGACTTCCGCTTCGCTCTCAACCCCGATCCTCACCGCASAGATGCCTCTAGCACCCAAGGACCAACCTGCGCCCAACCCAGCTTACAGCAGGCAGCGTGGCTATGGCTGCCTGCTTCTTCCACMCTCGCCCGTGAGTGCGAGGGCGCCAGCCAGCAAAATAGCGCAGCAGCGCTGTCGCCGCATGCAGCCAGCACCCGAATGTCAAATGAGGAGGCAGGCCCTTCCCTATATCCCCGTGGCCTGCCTGCGTCCAGTCCAAGAAGCTTCCAGTAGGCCCCGGTAGCCTGAGGCCCAGTCACGAGCAATGCAGGCATTGGGCCTGACGTAGTTGCATGTGCCCAACTGCTTTCGGCCTGTGCTTGGCCCGGTACCCGTACCCAGCCCAGGGCCTGCTTTACATTCATTCACACGGGCGGCCCAGGGCCTGAGTTCATTCAACCAACTAATGCTGTGCAACTGCCTGAATTTCCCCTTTTTGCGGGGGTACCCTGAAAACGAGGCCCTGAGGGCCTGTCATGCCTGCCTTCACTTAGGGCGGCCGACCTTGTTGCAAATAAGGCCCGTAGGGCAAAGCGGGCATAGCCTCGCAATTGTCTTTTGGCTGACCAAAGTGCATTGGCTCGGACTCACTATGAACTGTTGGTCCACAATTCTGCTAACTTAAGCAAATAAACGATCGATGGGAGTTCCTAATAGAACAGTTAGTCGCAAAATCTTTCCAGATTCACTGTTATAGAACTTGAACTCTGCTTATTCATCACGCCGAGTGTCTCTAGGCGCAAGCATCATTAGTCTGTCGTTCTAATCAGAGTTGACTGTAGTTTTGTTTTCATGCAATGCTAAGTGTAGCAGAATGTGAGTCTGCCCATGTATAACTTCATAGAGTAACAATATGAATTCACACTTGAATACGACGCCAAGTATTGCTCATAGTAGCCCTTATCCGATCATAACACAAGGTATCGTTCATGACTGTTTTTATCTCGAGCACAGTGTCGAGTACCACTCACGGTAAAACCCCATCGGAACACACTGTAAATGATTATCCCCACTTGGGTACAACACATGGTAGTGCTAATGAGACCTATCCCCCACTCTGGTACGAGACTGAGTAGTACTGGTAGCACTCCTCGCTTGGATGCTACGCGGGATAGTACATATACACATGCCCCGTTCAAATACAACGCAGGGTAATGTTGGTGGCTAAGCTCCCTTCGGATAGCAGGCGGCGTGAAGCCTAGTTCAGAACCTTACTTGTACAGGGTACAAACCAGCTAGTATAATGTTTAGCGTACCTCAGACAGCAAGCGCCAATCGAATACACAATCACTTTTCATAGATGGCTTTGGCGTAATAAAAACACTTTTTGTTTATGTAATCTAGAGTGTATTGGTTTACATAATTCTTAACTTGACATGGCACAGATTACGGGTGGTACTTATTCATTGTTCAAGTATTTGCACAGAGCTCTACCGCACGTGTTCTCAATAAGAGTATTTGAGCAAGAAAAGGGGTGTTGAAACGGTTTTTCACCTTTGCAGTCGCAGATGCAGATCCCAGGGCTCAATTCCTAGACCTCACCTCACCCGTGTACACTACCCCTGTTTGTTTGAACCCATGACCTGCGTTTTCAGAGTCGTTTGTTGTTCGTCATAGGTCGATGTAGCTGTCGGGTCTTCAACCGTAGGTCTGTCGTGTAGGGGTCATAGTTGTGTAGAGGCCGTAGCTGTCGCAATTCTGAAAGGGGTCAAGGTCGTAGCTGCTATAGTCCTGAAAGGTCAAGGTCGTAGCTGCTACAGTTTCGAAAGGCCAAGTCCGCAGGCTTCCGGAAGGTCAGGAAGTGGCCTTTCAAACGTTGCTCACAACAGACCAGAGGCAAGTGGGCAAGTGGTGAGTTCAACCTTGCTTAGTCAGCGGTACCCAGTCCCAGTCTCACTTAGTCCAGTCAGCAAGTACCATGTGGGACTGAGTGGAACATCGCCCTGGTGGAAAGGGGCAGACCAACGACTTACAAAAGTATGAATCAAGAGGCAACGTCCATCCATTCATTGATTCCTGCGTGAGCCTTGCGGAAGCGCTGCCCTAGCGTCTTGTGCGAGGTGGTCTGCAGATTGCCCGAAGTCGAAGTGGGCAGATGCGAAGTTAGAGCAGCCATCGCTGCTTATAGATAGTGATAGCCGGCGGCCATAGCTGCCATAGCTAGCGATAGGTGTTAGTAAGAGTGTGTGTGTGCGTGGGATATCCAGGGAGATCCAAGATTGAGTGCATGTGAACAGTCGTCGTGAATGAAGTGTTGGGCTGATGATGTGTGAGGGCGCTCAGGCACCATAGCCAGTTGGAAGCGAGTTTGTATTTGAACTGTGTTCTCGGCCATATTGTCTCTGAGCTTTGTGTGCCAGTGTGTTTCACTATCTGTTTGCATGCATGCGAAGTGAGAAGACGACGAGTCTGATTTCATTGGTATCAGAGCAAGTTCTCGCTATTTCATGCGCCATCGCCGTTGTCAACAGGGAAGAGGCGCGCGCCAGTTCGGCGCCATAGCAGAAGTGCGCCATCGAAGAAGAAGGGTCCGCCATAGCTGCGCCGCTCAAGGAAGGTGCCGCGTACCTGCAAGAGGCAACGATGAAGAGAGAGAGAGAGAGAGAGAGAGAGAGAGAGAGAGAGAGAGAGAGAGAGAGAGAGAGAGAGAGAGAAGATTGGTTGTGTGATCCAAGGAAGGAGGTAGCGGCCATAGTCGTTGAGCTCAGTCACGGAGTGAACGAAGAAGAAAGAAGACCTGGTGAAGGTTTAGGGAGAGACGAAGGAGGAGAGAGAAGCCATAGCCGAAGAAGAGAAAGGAGAGACGAAGGAGGAGAGAGAAAGACATAGCCGGGGTGAAGGAGGAAGGAAGTGAGAAAGAAGGAAGGAGGGAGATGGAGAACATTGAAGGTTGGTGAGGAAGAAAGGGGTCGGCAGTCATAGCCGAGTTGAGCGTTGATTGGGCAGTTGACTAGGGTTGACCGAGGTGTTGACCAGGGCATTGATCAAGGGTTGATTGAGTTCGTTGACCACAAAGTTGATCAGCGTTGACCGGCGTTGACCGAAGCTGTTGACCACAAATTTGACCAAGTTGGAGTTGGTATACTCTCGCCAAGCCTTCAACCTATCCCCTCGCCCACCCCATGGTACTTGGTGAGTCTGTTTGTCTCTTCTTTCTGCATTGAGACTCTTTTGTCCAGGTGATAGGAACTTTGTGTATGAGGTCGTAGAGCTGTGTTGACCAAACCGGCACGGGCTGAGTAGGGCTAAAGGCCGTGTCTGACGATTGACCGACGCGGAGGAAAACCCTCCCAAGGACCGGTATGACCGTCGGGCTGCTTAGTGTGGCGTGGTACGTCCAAAATCCGAGCTGTTGGCTGAGGACTTGCTGATCGCGCCGTCCTGTCTACGACATTAAACAATTCCTGAGGAGTTATGGGGGACCTCCTTAAATGCCTCCTGGTCAGCATTGAAGTCCTGTAGTGACAACTTTAGTATTAGGTCTAGGCTAGAGACCATAGTTGACAGGGTCCTGTCCGGATCCTATAGTCCTTAGACAGACAGTCAGTCAGTCCAGTGGGTAGGTTTAAGTGGTGAGGAGTGGGACAGTCTGTTGTCGTGCACCTAACACCATGGATCACTACCCTATGTACGGCCTGCTCGTGGGGTTTTCCCTCTGGGGAACCCTCTGGCGTCTCCTTTTCACATTAGGCTTCTGGAACACATTCACGTGTAGGGTGGAGACGAGGGGTGGCACTGGGACCATTCCTTGCACAAAGGGGCAGGAGGAGGAGGCCGCAAAGATTCTAGGTGAGGGGAAGGCCAGGAAGGAGAAGAAAGAGTTGGTGAAGCAAGCCAAGAAGTTGGCCTTATTGAAGGAGCAGACCAAGAAGAAGAAACAGTTGGAGGAAGAGATGGAGAAACTAAAGAAGGAAGATGAAGAGAAGTTGAAGGCGGTGGAAGAAGAAGAGGTGGACGAAGAAGTGCCCCTTGTAAGAACGAGCACCAGAGAAAGAGGGGAGCCAAGTGGCACAAAAAGGGAAGACGAGTGGATGGAGAAGAAAGTGTTTGAATGGGTTGCCAATCTGTCACTGGGGGAAGATGAAGAAGCAATGTTATATGTCCCTAGGGAACAGGAGGCAGTAGTGAAGAAGCTGGAAGCAAAAGAAGACCCTTTACGCTGCCGGACCATAGAAGAAGAGAAGAAGTTAGAGTGGAAGTTGCGCCTCACAAGGGAGAAGAGGCAAAGGATGAATGCGGCGAACAAGATGGTGAAGGAATTGAAGATGGTGGAGGAGCAGAGAACCCAGATGGAGAGGCAAGAAGATTTGCAGGGGAAGATGGAGGTTATGGCTATGAATATCGAAGTCTTGGCAAAAGCAGTCTTGGCAAAAGCACAACAATAACAATAACAATATCAATTTGTTAGGGGCCAGGACATAGCCTTGCAATCCATACGGTTGGGCTTTAGAGAATTCGCGCGCAAGATGATGATGAATGTAGGCAAAGAGATGAATGCGAGAGTAGAGAACACAAAGCGTTTCTTCACGGGCGCCATAGAGGGTGCCAAGTTGGCAGCTCCAAGGGAGGAGGAAGTACGCCCGGGTAGAGACCCAGTCAAAGTTAAGTTCCCTGATTCCTACAGTGGGAAGAAAGGGAAAAAAATTGACAACTTACCTCCATAAGATTTTGCCTGAGGAGCAAGTTCTCATCGCCTTTCATGCTCTCAAGGACGAAGCAGCAAGCTTTGCTAGATCACTCGCCCGCGCAGCTAAGCGCGAAAACGATATGGTGGCATTCCATGATCACACCTTTGACCGAATTCTTCAAGGTGTTGCATGAGAGATTTGTTGATGTCACTAGAGGGATTAGGGCCTATGACGAACTCCAAACCGTTCACTCGCGTCAATGGAAGAGTGCAAGGGCACTCAAGGGAGTAATGGATGAGTTAGTAGTTGTCCCTGGCCATGGGTTCATCGAGGCCTAGTTGGTCCAATTATTCTATCGTGCCATGCCCAAACCCTTACACAGACACTTCTTTGAAAATAGCAAGAGTCATGTATGACCTACGATACCTTGAGTAGGGAAGTAGTGGCTTTTGAGGCCCTGTCCATGCCAGCTACCACCTTTTGGCACAAGGATCTGGACAAGGGCAAGAAATGGAAGGGCGGTACCATCTCTAGCCAAGTCAAGGCCAAGGATCACTTGATCCTAACTTTAGATGAGGGTGGTATGGAGGAGGTCCTATATGATCAGATAGAGTGGGGCCTAGAGGAGGAGGATAGTGGCGATAATCAGGGGAGGACTTATGTTGCTGTCGCGGCTGGAGGGAGGGCCAGGCTTTTGGTGGTCGAGGACAAAGTGATCAGGGGTTGGCGGGAGGGGAAACTGCAAAACCGCTCTCGTTTTAGTGGATCACCTAGGAGGGGTGCATGGCACCCTGGTCTGCCGCAAGTCAGGCCTTGGGAGGATTTGGGCTTAGAACAGACGGTATGGCAGAGGCCGATGCATCTATTGGGGTGATTCAGGGTATATCATAAAATATCGCCCCAAATATAGGGAAGCCCTGAGTGCTGCGCTGGCAGCAAAAGGCAACCACCGGTAGGGGTTACAACTACCCTTACCCCTAGATGGTGTGGAGAAGAGTGCGCACGCCACACAAAAACTCCCAAACCACACGTGTCTATGGCAGAGGTTGCTGGCCAGTGCCTAGATAGTTGTCCAGAGACTTCTTGTGTTAGGGTTTGACTTTCCTCACAGGTCTGGCAGAGGAATTGAAGGAGAGGGTGTTGGCCTGGGCCAAGATGAAGAAGGATGGTAAAGAACTGGTTTTGGTAGATATAGAAGTTTTTAGAGGCAGAGTAGGGACCCTTGTAGATAGTGGGGCCACTCTCAGCGATATTAGTAGAAAAGCGCTGCAAAAGTTAAAGATGAGTGTGAAAGTCCAAAAGTTAGAAGACCCTATAGTCAACATCCTCGCAGACAATCGCACTATGCGAGTCAAGGAGTACATAGAGGGAGTCTAGGCGTACTTTCACCTAGAAAAAGATGGGAAGGTAGAGAGAGTTCTCCATTCCCTGACTCTCCTCGTAGAAGATAGCCTTCCATTCGACATGGTCCGAGGAATGGACTGGGAGAGGCAGCAGGGGCTACACTCCATCTAAGAGAGCACGAGTGTAGGCTCCCTAGCCCATCAGGCAAAGTCAAGACTGCTCGCCTGTTTCATGTGTCAGGAGTAGATAACCCTTTGGCACATTGCTGTCTCTTTTTTTTTTTTTTTTTTTTTTTTCTTCGAAAAACCCTGTGATATCCCTCTATCTTGGCGGCAGTAAGAGAGCCGTCACGATTGAGGGCTTACCTGTTGGGCTGCGCCGTTTATTGGCGGGGAGCGGCACCTGCTGGAAACCGGGTCCAGCGTCCCTTTTATACATCATGTAGCTCTGAAATTGGTGATTGTGGGTTTCTTGGGGCTGTGCACCTTGATCGTCCCGGGGTTCCATTGTCCCGTGGAATTGCTAATGTCACCCGTCCCCTTGTTGGAGCTCCCCTTGTCCCTATTCCCAGCCTTGTTGCGGCAGTCCCCCTATTTGAAAATTGTTGTAGCTGCTGTGCAATCCGTGTTCTATCATTGGTTGTATGCAGTCCCTACATGCCCTATGTGCCATTCAGTCTGCCTTTTGTTCTGTGTTTGGAGGGGCGGGAACCTCTTCACCCTGGACCCGGTGCCAGTTATCTGGAGTATTCATTAGTCCCACCACCTTCTCCCTATCAGGGGTCGGTCCAGCAACCCTTCAGAGGCAGACCTTGCCTCCACCTGGAGAAAACAGTATGGTCCCGCTAGCATTGATTGCCCTGGAGCCCAGGGGATTGACTGAGCGGGATAGATATCTGCTGCTACCCTCTGGCTCCTCCCACTCCTGCTTTTGCAGTAGCGTGCTCACTCCACCCCATACCATTGCATGTCTACCATGGCCAGCGGATGAGGGGGAAAGGGATCAGGGAAGTTTGAGGCCGACCGCAATGGGATCCTTGGGTCCACCGTTGTCCAGTCTCTGAAGCGAATGCAGTAGTCCCTCCTGAACGTCTCTCGGTTGCCTTCCTTGCTGTTCCTATTGTCCTCCGGACCGCTGCTGCCGTCCCACTCGATGAAGGCAATCCTACCCCCACTGTCGCTGCCCAGCCAGTCCTCTGAAAATTGCTGGATGTTTTGTTTTATGTCTTTCTGTGTCTGAAACCGATTCAGTTGGTCTTTGACTTTCTGCCATTGTGCCCTGAGCTCTTGGTGCATGAATTGCTTCAACATATCCGTCATTTTCTCCCCAGCTACGCGGACCCCCTCCATGACGTGTATGCATCGTCTCCTCCATATTGCCCATATGACAACTCTCCTTCCTATTTTGAACATATTATTTTCGAAGGTGCTGCCTGAGGGGGAGGACCATGTTTCACATAAGATCGTCCTCCAGTCCCACGGCCACGGGGAGCCGGTACCCAGATAGCTCCAGATTATGTCCCACCATCGCCATGTGAGGACAGCCCCAGGGCATTGCATGAATATGTGTTCAATTGTTTCAGGGATTTTCTGGAGGGAAACGCCGCATAGCAAGACTTGCACCATGGGAGCGCCCGGCCTGTCTGTTCCAGGTGTGTACGATCGATTAGCCAGTCATTAGTGGGGAGGCAGCGGTGTTCTATCTGCCACTGTAATGAGGCCAACTTTGCAGGCCTTGACCGCGCGAGGGCGAACCACCGAATGGGGCGGATGGCATCGACCCCCACATTCAAATGAGACTTCCAGCGGTTCTTCACAATATCTTTCAAGTTTACTCTGGGCCGCAGTAGACGGTGCGTAGCTTTCACCGACAAACTCCGGAGTTTTACGTTTTATGTTGTCTGGGTTCTGCGCACAGGTGGCCATTGCCACTCCTCCGGGTCTAGGGGGAGGTCTGATAACCAGGTCTCCGGCCGGTATGCTAGCCAATCGTCCTTTGCCTGCAACACTCTGATCCTATGCAGGTCAGTGTTTTGGTACCACCTCATCACCTCCGGGGTATACTTGGTTAGCCAGTTGTCTGTTTTTTTGTGGAAGAGGTTTACCAATGTCTCGTTCACGTGTACCTCCACAACACTCCCTACACTCTTCGAGTCTCCCTGGGCCGCCACCCAGTCCCCTTCCATTAGTCTCGGGCCCTTGCGCAGAATGCGGACCCAATACAAAGGGATTGCAAAGACCAGCTGTTCCAAGTTGTTTTCTATGTTGTGACAATATTTCAGTACCATCCTCATCTGCGGGACTGTTTTCCAATCCTTGTTTTCTGCATCCCAGATGTCTTTGCCTCAGATTATGCCTTTCTTCACCCAACTGTTCCACGGGGGGGCCGAACTACAGTATACCCTCCCATTCCGGTCTTTGATTTTTATGTTTCCAAACAAGGGTTGCCTGGCTACCTCCTCCCATCTGGTCAGCCTAGGTTTATCTGGAAGCGGGAGCTGGCGCCAAGCTCTCAGGCAACATTGCTGTCTCTTCCAGTTGATCTTGTTGGTTGTTGTTTGCATTGTTACCGAAGGAGTCAGACCCGTCTTGTTGCTCGAGTTGTTGTAATTGCTGATGAATCTCCATTTCTTGCTGATAACTTTTAGCTGCGAGCGGTTTTGAAAATTCTTGACATTTTTTCCCCAGGTAAAAAAGACCATTATTAAACCAGTTAGTTTGTAGTGGGAAGTGATGTTTTTGTGTGAGCCAAAACGCCCAATATTTCGTAATGTAGCGTCGAAACGATTCACGACGTAGAATGGATACGTTTAGTTTATAAAAACCGGGGCCGTGGTCAAGCTTCTTCCGGAAAGATAGGACCACTGTGCACATTTTATGGTCGAGACCCTGGTACGGACTGGCCGGGAGGATTGCTGCCAACCTGTGTGTCCGAAATCACGTTCAATGGGGGGTTTTGAGTTGAACGGTTCAACTCCCGTTGAATTCCGTTTCAACTCCGCGTTATACCCCGTTACAACGTGGTTCAACTCGGCCCGCGGATATTTTTTTTGTAGGAAAAAAATAATTAAAAAGAAACAAAAAAAAATATGGGGGTGTAGATTTTTTTGCTCTCTACATCCCCATATTTTTATTTTTATTTTTTGAGCATTTAAATTATTTAAAAAAAATCAAAAAAAAAAACAGACTCAAAACACACAGATTTTTTTTTTTTTTTTT